CAGGAGGGGCATGAACTCAGTGGCCAGACATGGCCTGACCACCCAGTCCTGTGGGGAAAAGAGTGCATTCGGAGCAGCTTCTGTTTGTGGGGCTCCTGGTGAGAAGTTCTAGAGTGACACAAGACCCCTTGCTGCTCTCTTACCTCTCTCACAAGCTACTTCCCCTTCTCTCCGTCCCTTGACTCATGTGGTCACTGTTTGCTGCCCGTCCTGTGAGACAGCACCCTGGACCAGGTCTTGAAGCACTTGGGAGAAGGTGGAAGGGGCAAGGCTTCCAAGGACCCTCGTTTCCCAGGGCCTTGCTCTGTCCTGGGCAGGCTGTTGGGAAGACTTGGAGCAGGTCCCTGATAATGGTAGTGTGTGTTTTCTGCTCCTGTTGCCACAGCTGCTCGTGAGGGGGAAAACCTCACCGAGGCCTGTGGTTGGAGCCGAGCTGAAGGCCAGCAGGGGTGGGTCTCTCCATGGCAGTAGCACACAGGCAGACAGGAAGTGGCCCTGTGCAAAAGCGGGAAGTGGCTGGTTGTTAGACAGGAAGTGGGGGGCGGGGATGAGCCCAGTAGAAAGATGGATGGGAAGAGTTCAGTCTGAGCTGTCGCTAGGAAGAGCGAGCTCACTGGCTACTGGAAGGGAGGGGTGGCATCTCTGAGGAGGTAGCTGTCTCTACCTGTGGCCCCGGGCCTAGTTCAGTGGGCTCATCCTTCTTGAGAATAGGAGGCTGTGTTCAGCTAGGACAGGCCCTTGCTGTGGGAAAAGACACTAGAGACAGTTACTGGTTTTTGAAAGGTTGCTTACTGTGGAGGAACTAGCAGCTTCCCAGCCTGGTGCCGCCCTAGAGGTGACAACCAGAGAAAGACAGGAGACCGTAGCTGGAATGGCTGGGGTGATGGCCAAGCTGTGTGCGGTAGAAGGCAGCAGGAAGATGTGGCAGCAGAAACCACATGGCTCGTTGAACAGAGAGCGTTTGGGTGGCACGGTGCCTCACCAGCGAGGCCTGAGGAAGAGGAAGGGTGGCAGCGGCTCTTCCCCAGTTGCTAACCTTTGCCTGTAGACTGTAGACACAGGGATCCATCAAACATGGAGAGACACCTGCCCCCAAAGGAAGGCTGTGGTAGAGAATCTCTTAGAAAGCCCAGCATTGGGGAAGGTCCAGTTGGTGGTCTCATGAAACATCCAGCCAAGCTGAGAGGAGCGTGGGTCCTATTCTCATAGTCTCTGGTGATAACCATGAGTCCACAAGCCCGGCTTGAGTGACCTTCTCCACCTCATCACTGGGCCCTTGGGAAGGAGGCTCTTACTCTGTGCCAGGCACTGTATTCAGTGGTTGTTTTTTTTAATTGAAAGCAGTTGAATCAGTTCCCACTCAGGTTGACCCTATGTGTATAGAGTAGTACTGTACTTCATAGGATTTCAGTGGCTGATTGTTTTGTTTTTTTTAAAGCAGATCACCAGGCCTTTCTTCAGCCGCACCTCTGGGTGAACTTAAACATGCAACCTTTCAGCTAGCAGCCAAGCGCGGTGACCATGTACACAACCCGGGGACTCCTACTGTGCTATGTACTTCCCCCTGTTGTTGCGTGCCGTTGAGACAGTTCTCTTAGTGACCCCAGAGGGTTTTGTGGGCTGTAAAGTTTCCAGAAGCCTGGTCTTTTCTCCCACGGAGTCCCTGAGTGGGTCAAACCACTGACCTTTCGATTGTCAGCCAAGTGCTTAACCACTGCACCACCATGGTTCCTTGTTACCTTATTACTTGAATCCATCGATAGAGCTAGCTCCGTTTTAGAAGTGAGGATACCCTTCCCCAGGATGTGCCTGGCTCGAGTCTGACCTCTCTGTTTAGATGGGCACTCTCCTACCTTCCTGCTGTTCTTATTCTACAGATAGATACAGCATCAACGTAGCCTCTTAGCGGCTGTTTCTCATCTCTCTTAGCCTTTCCCCATTAGAATGTCACCTCTCTGGAGGCAGGGGGTCTGTATCTGTTTTATTCACTGCTTTGCCCCCAGCACCTAGAACTGTGCCTGTCACGTAGGCGTCAATCAGTGTTTTGGGACTGGGGGAAATGACTGAATGAGACTCAGGTGGGTTTAATAATGTGCTTCATGGGACAATGCTGGGACTCACTCCAGGGCCATCTGACTCCGAAACCGATGTGGTCACTGCTGGGCTACTCCACGGCTTAGAGTCACATGAGTGAGGGCTGAGGTGCAGCCGGGGCGCAGCTTCTCAGGGCTAAGGTGAAATTCAATGGCCAGTGAAGAGACCCTTTGGACCCTGGGCAGCTTGTTCGAAGAGCTGGGCGTGAGTGTGGGCCCCCCTCCCCACTCTGAGAGTGCCCTTATTTTTAGTGCTGTTGCTGTTTAGGGGCTGGAACCATTAGCCAGTAAGAGTCTTAAGGGAGGAGATAAACATTAATCTTCTGGGCCTTCCCCTCTGCTGCCACCTCCGCATTGCAAGATGCTGTTCTCCCTGCACCTGCCCAGCAACCAGGCCTGAGAGCTCTGGGGTGGAGGGTGGTGAGGTGAGGGAGAGGGCAGATGGGTGTGTAGCTTCGGGGCTGACTTCAGGGACTGAGGATGAGGGCAGGTGGGGTGGCCTAGCATCCTCTCGGATAGTGTTAGCACTGCCTCCTCCACTGCTCAGCTTCCGAAGGTCCCCAGCGCTGAGGGCCCAAGGAGATGTGGCTGCATCCTAGGAGTATCAGGGCTGCTCAGTGGCCATAGTGAACCCAAGGGTGGGAAGGAAGGCCTGACCCAGATATTGGGGCAGCTGGGGTGGATTAGCTGGGCAGCAGGAATTAATCTCTGCCTGTTTCCACCTCCTTCCTCTGCAAAGCAGCACTGTCATTGCAAGAAAGACTGGGACATGGCACGGCGGGGTGGTTGGTGAAACAATAAATTGGGATTCTTTCCAGTCTGTGGTCCTTAACATTACAGCAGACTGACTGTCCTCTGTCTGTCCTGCTGTGGGACTTTGGGTCAGTGATTTAACTTCTCTAGACTTCAGTTGCATTATCTGTAGGATGGGACAGATACCTGCTTGGGAGGATTGTTGTGAGGCCTGGGAGGGTTTACAGAGGCTCTCTACCACGTAGGGTAGAGGCGGGGTGGGATCGTAGGAATCACTTGGCAGGTGTGGACATGAAGATATCTGCCTGGGCCTGTAAGAATTTGGGGGTAAACTGAACTGTGCCCCCAAAGCCGAGAGCCATTCTACTTTTCTTTTCCCATCCGTTCAGCCATCATTGCATGGTGTTGTTGTCAAGTGCTGTGGAGCCAGTTCTGACTCATAGTGACCCTGTATAGGGTTTTCAAGGAGTAGCTGGTGAGTTTGAACTGCCGACCTTGTAGTTCAGACCGACCTTGTGGTTCAGTGCTTTTCTCACGTGCCATACCAGGCCTCCATTAGCATTTCATAGCTCAGACCAGCTGTATATGTCACCTCACAGTTTGTCCTTGGGTGGGTGACTTTGTCTTTTCAAACCTCAATTTCCTCATTTGTAGTGTAGTGGGGGCTAATCAGAGCTCTGTTTCTCAGGGTTTCTTTGAGAATGAAGTAAAGTAACCCATGCCGTTGCTTGGCAGACAGTAATGTTCAGTATGTGATGGCTCTTACCAATACTGAGCCTCATGAGCTCAGACTAAGCCCCATTTGCAGATGGAACTCTTCAAAGCACTACTCAGAAAGTCTTTTGTTACTTCTCCCCTGAAGAGCTTGTGACCAAAAGACAACCATGCTAAAATGTATAGTATGAGAATTAGAGGCAGTGGGAGATGGGGAGAAAGGGACGGTCAAAGGCGAGAGATTGCTGAGCAGAGCAGGGGAGACATTCTAAAGGGAGTGTCTTTGGGTGGGATTCTAGCAGTTAGAGAATGAGGAGTTGTAAGGGACTGGTTAGACCTCCTCTCTTTCTAGTTCCTGGAGCTCTGGAATGAATTGGCCGAACAGCTCCCTTGGCTCTGGGGCCTGGTCATTCCACTGATGTAGAATAACCCCAGAGCCAGCGGAGTGCTTAGAGATCACAGCTTCCAAAAACAGATGAGCAAGAAAAACCTGGGAGAAGCAGTTTGAGTCACAGTTTCTTCTTCTATAAAATGGACACAATAAAAGACTTATCCCATAGGGTTGGATTGATGAGAAACTAAAAGCTTTATGTCTGTCTGGTGTTGAAGTCAGCTCTCAATAAAGTGTTTGTTACTATTATTTGGAGTCCCTGAGCAGTGCAGATGGTTAATGGACTTAACTGCTAACTGAAAGGTTTGAGTTTCAGGTCTGGCCCGAGATGGCGGTGAAAGAAAGACCTAGAAATCTACTTCCCTCATCCCCCTCACCCCCCGCCCCCAAAAGTAGTCATTGAAAACCCCCCAGAGCACAGTTCTACTCTGACATACATAGGGTGATTATGAATAAAAATCATCTTGACAGTAACTTGACAGTAACAAAACCAAATGGTTTTGGTTTTTCCATCTTTTCGTCATGATCATCAGCAGTATATTTTGAGGTGGTGTTGTAGGATCAGCACTGGACTGCAGACCACAAGGTTGGCAGTTCAAACCCACTATCAGCTCCTCGGAAACTCTGCACAGGGTCACTATGAGTTGGAATCGACTCGGTGGCACTTAACAACAACAATGAGAATTAAATAGAAACAAATATGAATATGCAAAATTCTTAGCACATTGTCTAGTCAAATAATAAGTGCTCAGTTAAAAAAAAATAAGTTAGCTGTTGTTAGTGTTTCTAACGAGAGAGATACTGGAAACCTTGCCCCAATGAAATCCGTGTTGTAGTGGAAAGGACACCAGTTTTGGATTTAGAGAGCAGTCTGCCACTCACTGGCTCAGGTGCTTGCCTTCTGAGTCACTTCCTCACCTGGAAGAGGTGACCATACTACCTGTCTTGTAGGGGTACTGGAACACGTTGCAGAATGAAGGCATGATTGGCCAGTGACCACAAATAGAATGCAATGTTGATGGCTTTTGTTTTTTCTCTTCTGCTTTTAGATCACCAGAAACTAGAACGTGAAGCTCGAATATGCCGACTTTTGAAACATCCCAACATTGGTAAGTATTCCTGCACAGATGCTTCTGGAATATTTCGGAGGAGGCGGGAAGGCAGAGATCTGCTGCTTTTGCTGGGTTTTCTTCTGTGTTGTCTTTTTTTTTTTTTTTTTGGCCCCGAATGGTAGTAGCTGTGTCTTGCTCAGAACTTCAGGGCTTTCTAGTACAGAAACCTAAGGCTCTCCATCCCTGTGGTGCCGTCTCAGAGTTGTGGGACGAGGGATCATAGTAGGCTTTTTTATTCCTCTTCTCTTTCCCTTTTTTGGGCTGAGTTCCAGAGTTCACAATGTGTGAGGTGCTGAGCTAGGAGACTGCCAGCATCCCTCACCAGGGGCTGTCTGTGGTCATCACAAAAGGCTCAGGACTTTGTTTCTGGACTTGAAAGAGTTTTGTTCCTACTGCAGTGTCTCGCACACTCTGAGGTTTCCATGGCACTTCCATTTGTCCTCCCCAGCGCCAGGAAAGCCAGCTGCCCGCCTGCCTGGCTTCTCTGCAGAGGGGTGGCAGAACCACTCAGATGGGGATGGAGAAAAACGAAGAGGATTTCTCCCTGCTCCCACCCTGACTTGGGGACAAGAGCACATTGTTCGTTGTTCTAAAGCCTGAGGAGGTTTGCCTGCCACAGCCCACTCCCGCTCAGTTCTACATTGTTCCGCTGAAATGGGCTTTGGCAAAATAGTTGGCCCCAATTGAGTACTCACTGCAGAAGAAGCATAGAAAAGGGGCTGGCTGCAGGGTCTGAGCAGAATCCCCGGTGTTGACTTGAGCCAGAGCAGACTGCATCGCCTAGGTTTTCTCAAAGCTTCGAGTCATCACAAAAGGCAACACGTAGTCTGTGTTCCTTAGGCATAACCTAAATATCCAGGATCTCACACGGTGGCCCAGAGGCTGGTCACGCTGCCTGCTTAGTGGCAAAGACTGAGAGGTGACTTGCTGAGGCTTGATGCTTCCTCCAAAATCACCCAGTCTCTGGTTTCCCAGATCTCAGACTGGACCACCCAACCTGAGGTCTTGTGTGGAAGAGCCAAGGTCATACTCTAGCCCAAGGAACAGCTTGAGGTAACCAGAACTCAAACCATGCAGGGTTTTATAGGTGAAAATCAGTAGCTTGGATTTCACCTGAAGCAGATGGGTAAGCCAGAGCTGGGCCCTGCCTCATGCAGTGTCCTCTGGAGCCAGCATCTTTCACCCTTGGGGCCTGACGAGAACTCCTGGGTGATGTCTGAGCTCCAGATACAGCACAGTGGGAACCAACACGTTGCCTGTTGGTTGGTGTGGCTCAGCCAAGAACACCCATAGAACATCAACCAAACAAACCCAAACCCGTTGCCACTGAGTTGATTCTGGTTCCCAAGAAGCCCGTAGGGAACAGGGTAGAAGTGCTCCATAGCGCATTCTTGGCTGGGTTCTTTATGGTCCCACATCACTCAGCCCTTTTCATAGTACTGTGAGGGGTGGAACCAGCAGCCTTTAGGTTAGACGCGGATGCAAACTCTCTGCACCACCTAGGCAGCAGTCGCAAATCCAGGCATGTTTTATTTGACTGACTCTGTGGTCTCGAAATATTTTTATTACTTGCCAATATTTAAAAACAAAGGGATTTCTTATTATAAAAAAAAAAGATATTTCCTGGCCTTTCAAATCAGATGGGTTGGCTCTGAGGAGCTTGCCACCAGTGTGTGGCAAGAGTCAGCTGGAGGTGAGCCGTGGTTGCACCCTTTGCCCGTGGGCTGCTGTCCTTGCCACTCCCTGTTATTGCAGATGGCATTACTGGCCTGACCCTGGAGGCTTTGTGCGTTTGTGGTCTCTGACCTAGGAGTTCCAGAATGGAAAGAAAAAGCATGTGAAGGACTAAAGTCATCCTTGAACACATAGGCAAGCCCACTTTAGTGTCCCAGGGTCTGAAGACAGTGACTTTTCCTTTTTATTCCTTTTGATCAACTTCCCCAGCAAGGATGACCTTCTAGGAACAGAAACAAGAACACCATCTGAAATGTGCTTGACCGTGGAAGGACCAAGGTGTGATGAAGACATTTGAGAAGCAAACAGGAAGGAGAAAAATGGGAGTCTAGCTGAAAAAAAGCCTAGCCTTGTTTTTAAGTATTTTTATAAATTAAATGGAGTCCTGGTGTGGCATTTTGGGTGAATGCACTGGACTGCAAAGTGGTTTGAACCGCAGTGTCCGTGGTTGAAGCTCACCGGCGACTCCTTGGAAACCCTATATAGGGTTGTTGTGGGTCAGAACCAACTCAATGGCACGTAAAAACAACAACAATAATAAATATATACTTTTGGACCTCTTATACTATATTTGATTTGGTCCAGTAAAATCATCTGCCACCAAGTTGAGTAATTCTGACTCATGACCACCCCATGTGTGTCAGAGTAGAACTGTGCTCCGTACGGTTTTCAGTGGCTGATACTGTTATCCCAGAAGGAGATTGTCAGACCTTTCTTCCAAGTGCCTCTGGGTGGACTTGAAGCTCCAGTTTTCAGTTAACAGCCAAGCTGTTAACCATTTTTACCACCCAGGGACCCCCTTTGGCTTGATAGCCCTTTTCTTTCACCACCTGTTCTCAGTCTGGAAAAAAAGACATACAGAGGATTAGTTTGTCCCACGTCTTGCTCTAATAAGAAGGCTCCAAGACACAGGAATGGCCACACAAGGGACGAATACTTTGTGTAGAACTCTGCCACCTTTCAGCATTGCACCCACATCCAGAAGAATGCTGGTCTGCAGGCCTGTCCCAGGATCAAGTGCAGGGAGAAGGCAGGGTGAGTCAGGACTGTGTCCTAAGAGAGATGCCGGTTCGGTTCTCTGGCTTCTGGTAGGAATGAGAGCTCAAGGAATTGGGCCCGGCCTGGCTTGTGGTGGTGGTGGTGGTGTGAAAGTGCCGTTGAGTCGGTTTCAACCCATAGCAACCCTGTATAGGGTTTCTGAGCTTGAACTAGAGTTTCAAAACAACTTTGCAGTTCAGCGCATTAGCCCATGCACCACACCAGGACTCCCTGGCTTGTGTTGGTAGAAGAGACCATTTGTGCCCTTCATTCGCTGTTCCCCTCCCCTCTCCTGCTGCTCCATCCTTCCAAGCAGTGGCCCTTTTGACCCCAGCCTCTTTAGCTCCGTTCTCTCTGGGTACAAGTGAACCAGCCCCAGACTGGTGCAGAGTTGGGAAGCTGAGATCAGCGGTTACACCATTGGCCTCTGGCTGCTCTCAGACTCAGGCAGAATTTAGAGGGGGTAATTGTTGCACAGAGTCCCTGGCTGATACAGTTAACATGCTTAACTGCTAACCAAAAGGTTGGAAGTTTGAGTCCACAAAGAAAAGTATATAAGGCAAAAGGTCTGGCAATCTGCTTCTGAAAGAAAAAAAAAATCAGCCATTGAAAACCTTGTGGGGCACGGTTCCATTCTGACACATCCGGAGTCATTGTGGATTGGGATTGCCTTGAGGGCAACTGGTTATTTGGTGCAAGGAATAAGCATCCCCAGTTTCCTCCCTAAGAGAGGTGCTATACCAAGAGTTAAAAGCCTGATGGTTCCCAGGCTGCTGACCTCAAACCATCCCTGAGAGAGTGTCTCCGGAGGTGGGGAGTTGAGAAGAGTGGTGCTGCTAGTCTGAAGTCTGAGTGGAGTGTGTTCTCCCTGTGATCTGCGTGCTCCCTGGTCTAAATTCCTCTAATGAATAGACTCTGTCTTCCTTCGTGCTGAGTGCCCCAGCAGTTTGCATCACAGTCCAACATTGTGGTTTAAAGCAGCGCTTCTCATACTTGAATGTGCATATGAATCACCAAGGGGTCATGTTAAAAATCCAATTCCTGGGACCCTGGATTCTGCGTGTCCAGCAGTCTCCAGGTGACACTGCTGGTGGTTCATGAACCAAACTTGTAGGGGCAAAGGTCAGTGGTATAGGGACTTTGGTGTTAAATCTCTTTTGCTGGAGTCTGTTTTGCTAGTTAGTTACTGTGACCTCTGGCCATTTACTTTGCCTGCCTCTGCGCCTCCTTCCTGGAATTGTTGTGGGAAGATTTCATTAACAAAGGTCTAGGAAATGGAGGTGATGAAAATGGAGATTCATCTCCTAGAAGTGATCTCTCCTAGATCTCCTTTCCCAACTCAGTATACAAGTTACTCAGCCCAGGCTACCATTAGCCTTGGGCCTAGTGCCCATTCAGTTAACATCTTACCGAAAGGTTGGAGATTCAGATCCACCCAGAGGTGCCTTGGAAGAAAGGTCTGGCAATCTACTTCCAAAAAATCAGCCAGTGGAAACTCTGTGAGGACCATTCTACTCTGACACAGATGGGGTCGCACACGTGGGTTGCTGTGAATCAGAGTCTACTCAGTGGCAACTCTTGTTGCAAAGAAAAAGAAGGAAACATTGAATCATAACTGCAGCTCCTAAATTCTTGTCCTCCATCTCCGCCTTGGTGATGGGACCGTCCTTGCCCCTGTATTTTTACTGCAGAGTTTTATTTCTTCGGTAGACTATTTTTTTTAGACTAGTTTTAGGTTTACAAAAACATTGTGCAGCAACTATAGAGAATCCCTGTGTACTTCCTCTCCCCTTCACATTGTTTTCCCATCAACATTCGTTGCAATTGAACTAAATAAGGGTTCCCCCTTTGTGTCGTAAAGTTCTCTGCCATACAGTTCTCAGGTCCACCATTCGGTAAGCTGTAGACATTTTTAACAGTGATATTTTATCTCAAAGATTTGTTTGTTAGAATGTTGAATATGGTTAGTTTTTAAAGAATTGGATATAGTGCTTGGGTGGTGTCTTAGTCAGTTCCTGAGGATATAAAACTTCAAGAAAAGGTTTTTCAATGTTGTAGCCTCTCCTTCCTTCCTTCTTTCCCCAGCTTTTAAAACACACCAATTACATTTCTTGCAGAAATGTGAAATATACTTCTTTATTCCTGATCTTTCTGTCCTTTGGAGTTCCTGGACCTTGATGGCCTCTCCTTTTAATGTGAAATGGGCTGAACGTCAGACTGCCAGA